TAACTTATGAAACGGCATGTTGGTGGAGGGAAAACCATGTGCAGAAAGTATGGGAAGATGGCATGTTTCAGTAATTCAATATAATTGAGTTGCAGTTACGTAGAAGTGTGGAGAACTGTGGCTGGAAAGATGGCTGCTGTATTAGTTTCCTAGGGCTGCTATAACAAAATGCCACAAACTGATTGTTCTGAAGGTGAGAAGCCTGAAATTGAGGTGTCGTTGTGGCCAAGTTCCCTCTGAAAGCTGTATGGGAGAACCATTTCTTCCCTTGTGGTAGCTTGTGGTGTTTGCCAACAACTCACGACTTGCAGCTGCAGCACTTCTGTTCTCTCTTACAAGGACAGCAATAAAGGCCCACCTTAACTCCTTCAGGATCTCATTTTATAACTTACATCTGAAAGATCCTGTTTCCATATTAGGCCATAGATATTGGTTTTAAGGATTAAGACTTCAACATATCTTTTAGAGGATACAATTAAATCCACAACAGATGTGTAGTAGATCACATTTTATTAATGAGTACTTTAGATTTTATATGATAACAGCAAATTGACAGAATAAACTCTGGCAGATGACTGATGATCTCATAACTGTGTTTTAAAAAGATCAGTGGGAGAGTAATGAAGGGGTTGAACTGACCAAGCTAGGCAGGGGTGTGTCAAGAAACCCCTTTGAACACTGACTTTGGAATTAATAATGACAGACAGGACTGTAAAGTAGGTATAGTGTATGGAGGGATCTTGTGGGAGGGGGGAGAGTAAATAGAGGAGATAAAGGTCAGGAGATACGATTAATGGGCTTCATATAGATATACAAAATAGAATAATGGAACTTCTTGCAGTTGCTTTTAAGTGGGGCAGGGAAGGGGTTGGAGAGTGGAGGTGGTTGGGGGTGACCTAACCTGTGTGAATGTAAGGCTGTTTGAAATTGTCATAATGAATCCCTCTTGGACAATGAATATATCCTAATAAAAAAAAAGATGAGTGGGAACATTGTGATAATTTAAAATGATAGAAGAACCTGGTTTAGGGAGAAGGTAATTTACATGGTAGATTAATAATACAATAGCAGGCTTAATCTTTAATTTTTTTTTAAATGGGGGTTGAACTCAGAGCCTCATGCTTACTAGACAGGCACTATACCACTTGAGCCCTTTTTGCTTTAGTTATTTTTCTAAAGTCTTATGATTTTGCCCAGGGTCAGCCGCAGACCTTGATCCTAGCTATGCCTCTTGGTAGCTGGGATTATAGACGCATACAACCATGCCCAGCTCTTGGTTGAGGTGGGGGGGGGTCTTGATAACTTTTTGCCTGGGCCAGCCTTGAACCATGATATTTCTGTTCTCTGCCTCCCAAGTCACTGGGATTATAGTTATCAGTGGACCCAAATATAATCTTTAAATTTTAAAACTTCTGTCAAGTGGTTTTTTTGGTAAGGTATTCTGCACCTTAAAAATATTAACTCTAAAATACTGTAAGGAGTTACATAGGCCATAACTGTATCTGTAGAATTTATATTTTTAAGAATCCTTTGGCTTCTCCTATAATGTTTTACATATGTAAAATTAATCATTTCATAGAAAGTTCCTGAATAATGAATATAGACATTGGTGGTCAAGGTGTACTCAAGGGTAGTTAGAAACTCCTTGTCCTGAGCTGAATGTGGTAGAGCATGCCTTTAATCCCAGCTGCTTAGGAGGTAGAGATAGGTCCAAGGCCAGACCAGGCAAGAAGTTAGCAAGGCCTTCATCTCAACCAACAGGCTGGGTATGATGGTATACCTCTGTAATCCCAGCTACTGGGAGGCATAGGTAGGAAGATCAAGGTCTGAGGCTGGCCCTAGGCAGAAAAACAAGACCTTATCAAACAAAATAACTAAAGCAAAATAGGGCTGGGGACATGGCTCAAGTGGTAGAGCCTCCTGCCTAGCAAGTGTAAGGCCGAGTTGAAACCCCAGTACCACCAAAAAGAAAAATGTTCCTTGTCTTTTGGGAAGTAATTAAAAATCAACGAAAATAACAGGAAAAACAAAAAACCCATTCTGTAATAGTGACGTTTGTTATCTACAAATGTTCATCCCACCTACCCCCAGCACCTCTCCCATATCCCACACTCCTGCCCTCCCCAATATGTTTACTTCATTATGAAAAAAACACTCAAACTATGTGTTCATATATAGATTAACTGGAAGGTATCAACAACTTGAGAAATAACTCCAGAGGCAGATTCCTGGGCTTGGGGAAAAATCTCTTGGTAGAGGAAGTTAGGTAAGGGATAATACAATACCATAAAATTATCAAGTGTGATTTCAAAACAGAAGCACTAATTTGGAAGGCAAGCAGTATGAATAAAAAACTTCCAAGATGTGATGACTGTGTTTTGATTTGGAAGGGTAAGGGTGAGCTGAGAAAGGATTAGAATAGCATGAGGCCTAGAAGGGGAGGGCTACAAAAAGGGAGGCAGGATGGGGTAATTCTATTTGGTGCTGAATGAAGTAATATACAAAGTACTTAACATAGCATCTTATTTGTGCTGTTAAGTATATGTTTTGTAGAATGCCATATGTTTTAAGAATATGCTATCCTTCCAGTAGTTTTCTAAAGCTTCTACCGTTTTATTTTATCACACATTGCACATTAAAAGCCATAATCGAAGCATCTTTAAGTGTCTTCCTATGGAGCAGTCTAACCCATGCCTACTATTAGTCTGGCGATGTCAACATTATCAGAATTCCACTGAAAATAATCAAAATTGAACTTCCTAAGTTGAGTCAGCTGTTTTGGTTGTACTAATGCTTCCTCCCTCTATTTCAGAGTATGCGGTTGAAACTGATTGCGAATAACACAACAGTGGAACGGAGGTTTAGTTCATGGATTGGTGGTTCCATTCTAGCTTCTTTGGTTAGTAGATGATAAGCTACTTTACAAAAATGAAGACTCTTACTTGAATTAACTTTAAATGTACTACTAAAAATACCAAATTTAGTAAAAATATCAAAAATAATTCCTGTGCTAATTTATACTTGCATTTTATAACTACTATATGAGTGGAGGACCTAATAATACCAATTTTATATTCTGACAAAACAAAATGCCCCTTTGCCTTATCAGTGGATATCTGTTAGCCTACTTTCAATTTCCTCTGTCAAACACAGGTAGAAATATTAACATGCCTCCTCTTTTAATACCTCCATTGGCCCTAGTCAGAGCATTTAAAATTAAATCATTCTAGCCAGGTGAGGTGGCTCACACATGTAACTCTAGCAACTCAGGAGGCAGAGATCCAGAGGACTGAGGTTCCAGTCCAAAGTTCAAGAAAACCCATCTCAGCCAATACAGAGCTGGGCTTGGTGCATACGCGTCATCCTAGCTCTAGTGGGAGGTCCAGACCAGCCTGGGCATAAACATGAGACCTTAACTCAAAAATAACTAAAGCAAAAAGGGCTGGAAGCATGACTCAAGTGCTAGAGTACCTGCTTAGCATGTGCAAGGTCCTGAGTTCAAACCCAGTACTGCCAAAAAAACAACAACAAAAAAATCATTCCTTCTTAGAGTCACAGCTGTTCCTGGTCTGTAGGTGAGGCATAGGAAATCAGACATTGGTTCTTGAGGCAAAGTGAAGTCATGGTGCTGATCTTGGACTAGTTTCTGCATTGAATCAAGAGAAATAGTCCTGGTACTTTTCTGTGCCCTAAACATTTATTTCCCCTTTACCTCAGAGGAGCTAAGGCAAATGCTTTTAAATATTCAGGTCTTCCAACAATTTCTACTACTGCTGAGGTTGGCACCAAGCCATCACAGCCATTTCTAAATCCTATATAGTGTGATAGGTGAAGGCTTCTATATTTTTTCAAGCCTGAAAGGCAAGGCTAAGTAGTACCTTTGGGTGGTTCTAGAGGAGGGCTGAAATAAGGGAGTGATGGAATACATCTGGGGGAAAGAGGATTAAGAATGCTTGAAGGGCAGCCCACGCAGGACCACTCTATTCCCAAGGGAGCTTTCATTCTTTCTTTGCTTAATAAACTTCCTCATCTTTGACTCAAAAAAAAAAAAAAATCTTCACAGTTTTAAAAGTACTTTCTAATAAGAGGTAAGACACAATTATTTTTTTCCCATTTTACAGGGCACCTTTCAACAGATGTGGATTTCCAAACAAGAATATGAAGAAGGAGGGAAGCAGTGCGTTGAGAGGAAATGTCCTTAAGAGTTCCCAGACCTCCACCTTCCTGTGTCACCTTGTTTCATAGCTTTAGTATACTCAGGAAAGAATGACCATCTTTTGTAGAATGTTTATACATTTTTGCATATTTCAATTTCCACTTAAATTTTTTAAGGCTTTAACTAGCTCTGTAAATTGAGTTTGTGCTTTCCTTGAAATGCACTTATTCTTATTACAAGCATTTTATAATTTTGTATAAATGTCTATTTTCTCTAAATATTTTGCTTTCAGTAAAATACCTTCCAACTCTGTTTTATTAATTACCAGTGGATTGGTAGAATTGCTTTTTATTGACTAGTAAAAGTTACTGCCTATGCTTTTTACCTTAGGCTTACAAAAGTAAATAAAAACTCCTAGCCATTCCAGAACATGTTTTTGGACTACTGTGTTTTGTGACTTGCTACTTTTAAGTACTTACAAACTGTATTTATCACTATTTTGAATGAAAGTATTCAGTTAATTAACAGTAATGTCCACATCCCTTCATGTCCTGTTAACAATAGTAAAAATGTTACCTGAATTCCAGAAAGTGACTTAATTGCCTTTGCTCTGGCAGTTCACATCACTTTCACCCACTAACATAACAGGTGATATTAGTCTGCTTAGATGTCAGAATTTATAAAGTGGGGTCAACCTGATTTTTAAAAATTTAGTAGAACTACTTCCAGAATTAACATACCATGTTAACCATAAGAACAACTGGCAAGTCATTTGATCAAAAAGTTTCTTTATAAACCACTTAACATATATATATATATATTTACTTTTGTATATAGACTGTTACAAGAAAGACAAAATGTACATTAGGAGTTCCAACAACTTAGACAGTATGACTTGACTTCTGGGCTTCAGAAAGATGTGGAAACTTTTCCAGAAGAAGTTTTTCTTTCTTTTTCTCTAAACTTTTCTTTCTTGCTTGGATGCGGGCTTGTTTTTCAAGTCTCAGTCTAGAATAATAAAAGCACAACAGTAGTTTATATGAAATTATTTCCCTGTTACTAAGACTATCAAAATATGTACAAAGCAATTACGTAAAAGCCTCATGTCAGTCTCTACATTTGGTGTTATTCACATTATTAAACTTTAATAATGACCACTGTAAACCTATACCAACCATCTTTCCTATTTCCTGACTATAAAGGACATCCAGATCTTGTAAGCCTGGAACAGACTGGAACTAAAGTTCAATTCTCGCGTGGCTAAGGATATATATTTTTTTATTTTTGAAACAGTAAAATCTTAGTACATTATATTTTTTGACATCATGAGGTGTATCCTGAGATGAGAATTCCCTAATTTGAAAGAGCACTTGCCCTAGCTTACCATTTTCCTATACACAGAATGAAACTATGCTAAGAGATAATGCTTAGGCACTTATTAGTCTTGAACTCAGGACTTCACATTTGCTAGGCAGGCATTCTACAACTGAGCCACTCCACCAGCCAATTGGTAAGTCTTAATTGCTCTCTAAATGAGTTTGTTCCCATGCATCAGCATCCTAGGGGGCATGAGGTATGTGCCTTAGCTAACCTGACTATCATCAAAATGTAAAATAAGTTCATGGATGCTAAGCCTCTACTGTACTTTAAACTTGTGTTTTACAGAATATTTTATTGATCAGTAAATATAAATTTATATGGACTATAATGGTACATTAAGGGATGTACGTAGCACGCCAGTGCTATGGGGAAGTCACAGAAATTTGAGAATTAGTAAGAATTATGTCTGAGTGAGGACAAAAATTTACACAAAAACCATTTGCAAAAGGTAAACCCACCTAGAAGAAAATAAATTTCTTATTAATTGAGCTACATTCTCTGAAGGTAAGACCAAAAAAGGTAAAGTTTTAAAAAACATTACATTATTTAGGAGGCAGGAAGCAGAAGAATCATGAGTTCGAAGCTAACCAGACAAGCCCAGGCAAAATTAAGAGACCTTATCTCAATAACAAAAGAGCTAGAGGGTGTAGCTCAGGTGGTTGAGCTTGGGAGGAGCATGAGGCCCTGGACTGAAAAAGAGCATGAGTATAAAGCCTGCAAAAGTAACATTGGATTGATAAATTCTCATTTACCTTAAAAGTCATTTATTGCTACCTTATATGACTAAGGGGGGACAAAAGGATCAAATGGCACAACACTGGGCTTAGAGAAATCCTCAAGAAGAAAAACAGCTATCAGATTAACTGGTTTTTGAACTAGGTCTTAAATAGAGAAATTTCAAAGTTGTACAAACACTAGGAAATGAAATGAGTAAGGCATGTTTAGGAGACAAAGTTGTCACTTTTGATGAAGGGTAGGCAGCAGATGCTGGGTAGGAAAGTTTACATTTTTATTCCATTGACAGGAAGCAAGCTATCACTCCGTTTTGAACAGCACTGCAGTGATAAAAGGTCAGAGGAAAATTTGCCAGGAAGCAAGATTCAAATGAACTGGAGTGAGTATGCTCAGGAATTCATTTTGATGAAGACAGACTGTACTAGGGCAGGGACGGGAGAAGAGTGGAGACATTGTGCAGAAAAATGTAACTCAAGGACTGACTGAATCTAGAGCTCTAGAGAGGATAACCTTAGGGCCCACGGATGCACTACAGACAAAATGAGGAAGAGGTATAAGCAGTTGGTTCATGGGAAGATGAAAACCAGAAACTGATTCTGAAGTATATTAAAAACTTTAATGCTCAGTTTAAAGATAGATTCCATTACTGTAAGATTACTTTTTAAACGTCATTTAGTTTTTGGTATGGAAAAAAGTTTTGGTGGGGGTTGGAGGTAGGATATCGGTCTCTGAAGAACTCTTGCTGAAAGTAGAATGTATTATCCAAGGCAGTTAGAAGTTGTGGGTTTGTTTTGGTTTGGTTGAGACAGGCTATTGTAGCTTAGGTTGGCTTGAACTCCTAATCCTCCTGCTTCAGCCTCTATGGGGTGTGTACCAGCACCTCTGGCTAAAGCTGTGGTTCTTATACTGTTAGTATTTCACCTTTACCTTTCTAGTTGCTTTCCTATCCTTGAATTCTGATAGCACCTTTAACCAGGAGCCCTATAGTTTCCTGACCCCATCTTTTGTTGCAGCCACAGCAATAGGAAAGAAGAAACAAACTTGCAATTTGTTTCCATTTAACTGCAGGGAATTAAACTCTCTTCTGGCTTCTGCTTGTGGATAAGGAATCAGTATTTTAACTAGTTTAAAAAAAGATCTTAGTTTTTATAAGCAGTTGGTAGTTCTTGGGATCACTTTACTCATCTACCATAATAGAAGCCCTATTCTCCCTGACCAATAATAAACTTAATGCAGAATCTGCTATGGGAAATATGTGGAGACCATTTGGAGGATCAACATTCTGCAGAATAGTATGAGTTCAGATATGATGCAACATGCCACCTCTCCCTAACGCCTCTTCATTTGCCTTGGAATACCATGAGCTCACATTTTTGGACCTTCATTTTAACATTACAGTAGGATTTTCCCAACTATTTAAATACAGAGAGATGAATAGAAAGGTAATAAACTTTTTTATTTTGGTGGTACTGGGGTTTGAACTCGAGGCCTCATGCTTGCTAGGCAGGTACTCTACCACTTGAGCTACTCTGTAAGCCCAAAAGGTAATAAACTGTTGAACGAATAACAGTGGTTATTTTTGGATGGTGAGATTACATATGACTTCAATTTTCTTTTTTTTAACCTGATCATCCTATTTTTCTACAATGAACCTGTATTACTTATGAAATAGTAGAAATTTTATTAAAATGTAACAAAGCTTTAACCTAGTATGTCATCTGAGGTAAAGATGCTATGTTTCATTATAAGGGTACTTGTGCTCACCTGACAAAATGTTCCACATAAGGCATTGCAAAGAATCGTTTCCTATTGTATCTTTTATTTAGGTACCAAGGTAAAGGCCACTGCTTGAACTTGTGCCTGTAGAGAAAGGAGAAAGTTATTGCCTTATGGAAAATACTTAACACGTTTTACTTTTGTAATTTTCCACTCAAATTGACTCAAATGAATTAATCCAAATAATATTATAAAAATGAAATAGAAAAGTGTTTTATCCTTTAAATTTGTACTGCTGGAGATTGTTCTACCACTGTCTACACCCTCAGCTTCTAGATAAGTTTTTCATGAGATATTCTGGCAATTTCCTCTTTTCTGTGTTGGATTAGATGCTTACAGACAGCACAGCCACTCCTCTATATTGAGCCCCAAGCAGTCTCATTACCACAAACTCTGTTCCCCAGAAAAGAGGCTTACTTTAGGCTGTCTCAATTATTTATACCTCAGTGTGAATACTGTCAAATCCTTAACCAATATCTGACAAAACTTTTAGGAACTGTATGTAGCAAAGACAAAAAAAGCATAGCAGTAGGTTGTTTCATAATTTGGCCTAGGGCTTAGCCTGATGGCAATGGGAACAATCTGAAACTCCTTCATGTGAACTTTCTTTTTAGTAGTCCAGATTCTTAATGGGTAAAGAAGGCAAAGGTGTGTCCTCACCATTACCTCTGCAAGAATTATAACCTGACATTTGTATGTTTACATGTACATTTTTCTGTGGAAAGAATCCACAAATTTTACCAAATTCCTGAAAGGTTACATGATATACCATATATATATATATATATATATATATATATATATATATATTGAATCATGGGGATGGGATGTCTGAGCTGGTATTGGTTTTACCAGATAAAGTGACCTTCATTCATATCCTACTATTCCAATGAAGATCAGGACCTATTCTTAAACAAGACACGTCTCTAACATTTCATGTGGTAAGAATCTCTCTTAAAAGATACTGAACAGGAGAATAACGCACAGGCTCCCTATACTCATCTCAGAAGAGTCACAGTGTAATCTCTGTACCAGATGATTCTTCCAAAGATATCTCTTCTCCAAGCACCAGGTCTAGGCTTTTCTTGGCCGGTCTGAAGAAGCCTTAAAGCATCTTCTCTTTCCTGGACAACCTTATCTAGTGCATCCATGGACTCAACTACCTGAGACGAGAAAAAGAAAGATTCAATTTCAGCAAACACTTCTGAATTCCAGAGAACAGACAAGGAATTATGTATGCTGCTGCAGAAAATCCTTGATGAATATTTTTTATCAAGGGACCACTCTGTCAAATACCTCCTACAAACCTTTTTTGGCAGAGGTATGTGTCTACAGTATCACTTTGTATAATTTTTTGAAAGTTTATAATTTCATTTAAATAAACGTTTATCTTGGATTTCCATATATTAAGCTTTATTTAGAGTGGGACAGCCTCGTACAGATGTCTTTTGGAGACCCAATTTAACTCATGGTATTTCAAAATTCAATAAGCTAAACCAATGCTTTGGTAGCCACTGTTTCCCTCTAATATTCACATAGATATTCTGGCTTGCTTGGCATATCTTGCTACAATATGGAAAGAAGTATAAGTATGCTGGTATTAATCTCAAAGATTCTTTCAGATACAAGAAGGTACTACTAGAACTTCTTGTTTTTATTTCTTTCAAGATGTCACATATGCTGATGGTGTGGCTCTCAAGCACGAGGCTGAGTTCAAACCCTAGAACTGCTAAAAAAAAAAAAAAAGCTAAGATCTCTCGTGTATGATTTTAATGTATGCAATATACTGACGGAGTATGCATTTGTTTAGAAATACTTATTTATATATTGGAGAGTATAATGTCAGAAAGTCAACCTTTTTTATACTTTTAAACAGTGAGAACCATTTTCAGGTAGTTTTCATAGATTTCAAATATCACATACACATATTTGTTTCTTAAAACTATCTCCAGCCAGGTGTGGTAGCCAAGTACGCACATGCGCCTGGGCATCACAGCCGATTTTAAACATCACATATACGTATTTGAGCATCCACACTGGCATGAATGAATGAATAAAGGGAGAAATGAGAAGACAAAGCCTTTCCTTACAGAAGAAAGCCAACTATAAATGTAGATGATATTATTAAAAAAATCACTATTTAGCAAATGTTAACAATAATTGATTCAGAGAAGAATCATCAATAAATGATCAAACTAGTGAGTGAATGTTGAAGAGTTACAGGATGTTTATTTAGCAAGATGTTTAATTAGACACACAAAAAAATGTAACTGTATGATGAAGAAACCTAACAGACACCATCATAACCAAGTTATTAACGCTAATGTAATCAGTACCAGAACAATTTAACATACTGTGCTCCTAATCTGATGCACTGTGAAGAATATACTATCACTTCTCTTGGCAACCTGTCAATCTTATCATGAAAAAAACAAATTTAGGGACTGGCCTATACTCTTCAAAAATGTCCATGTCAGGTTGTACATGGTGATGCATGCCTATAGTTCCAGCATTGGGGAGGTGGAGGCAAAAGGATCTCGAGTTCCAAGCCAGCCTGAACAACACAGAAGACTCTTGTCTCAAAACAAAACAAACAATAACAACAGCAAAAAAATCTATGTTATGAAACACAAGGACAGAACTCTGGGGTAAAACAGTCTAAAAAAGACTCAAAAACTGAAAATGCAGGACCAAGATATTCTTTTGTTAAAAAGACATTATAGGGATACTTGATAAAATTTGAATATTATCTATAAATTATAGATTATATTGTTATATAATTACCTGATTTAAAAATTATACAGTGGTCATATAAGGGAATATTGTTGGCTTTCAAATATGTAATTTAAGAGTCTTTGCATAAAGTGACATGATATGTACAACTTACTTTCTAACAGTTGAGTGTGGAGAGGTGGGGGAAGCAGAGAAGGATACAAGTGTGAAGCATTCACACCTGGAATCTGGGTAAAGCATATATGGGAAATCTTTGTACTATTCATGTAACTTTTCTGTATGTCTAATATCAAAATAGAGTTTAAAAACCAAAATATGTTATTAACTCAACTTTCACTAAGTCAGAATAATCTTCTCATAATTAGGGTAAATAATTGAAATTTCACTGCATACTTTTCTTGACATTTTCCAGGGATATTATGTCTTCCCCCATAAAAGACAGTGTGGTAATCACGATTGTGACTTGTGGAAAAGGAAACTAAAATAGCTGAGGTTAGGCAGCAGGACAAAAGGTATTAAAAAACTGAGTTTTGTTCTCACTGAACACATACCATGACTCAGAAAAATGAATAGTAACAACCTGGAAAGCAATCCAGGAAAAAACCTTATAATAAAAATCATAAAATTTTTACAAAGAAGAAATATTTTAAAATGGGGAGAGGCAGATGTACATTTACTGATATGGAAAGAAATCCAGGATATACTAGATAGGTAAAAAATTTAAGTTTCACAGGAGTATGTAAGTGTAACAAATTTATATAAATAAAAATAATTAGACATCTTTCTACAAGTATAGAAAAACATCAAAGAATGGTTACTTCTGGGAGTCAGAATATGAATGCAAGAGATTTTTTTTTCAGTAATGAAGAAAAGCTAATTTTAAAAATAATGGACCTTTTCACAACCATGTGAATATTCTTAACACTGCTGAACAGTACACTTAAAAATGGCTAAGGTGGTTAAAGTTACATGTATTTGACCACCATAAAAAAGTACATTAAAAAAAACTGAGTTAGTGAGCAAGTGGTAAAACTGGTTGTGAAGTAGTACAGTTAGTTAATTTTTTTTATTTTGAGGGTTGGGGATTGAATCTAGGGCCCCCTTAGCATGTACTCTACCACTGCACAGCTGCGTTAGAAACAGTTTGGCTGTTTCTTCCAAGGTTGAACAGAGCAATTTTCTCCTAGGTACCTACTTAAGAAAAATAAAGATATACATCCACCTGCATGTTGGGAGTTCAGGTAGGAAAGAAGAGTGACTGGAGAGGGGTACAACTTTTCTTTTTGATGTAACAGAAATGTTGCAAAAAGAGATAGTTTAAATGGTTGCACACTTTGGTAAATTTACTAAAAACTAAATTAAAAAAAGTCTACTTAACAAGAAACATGGGAACCACACATTTATTCTTTTTGGTTTTTACCCTGCCTCCCACAGGCCTTACCTTTTCTAACCGCTCTGGACTTGGCATTGGCAGTCTTTGCCTCTTGGCCTCCTGCTCTAGAGTTAGAAGCATGTTTCTTTCTTTCAGTAGGACATACCTGTAGCAAAGAACCCAAAGGCTATGATACTTCTCTGTGGTTATGTTAATAAAGCTGTGATTTCTAACATCAAAATTAATGACATGAACCTGGACGTCCTTTAGAACTGTCAATACCCAGAACATCATCACAAAGAAGTAATCCTTTAGACAGAGCTGTTTCTTTGCTTATTTACCTGTTCAATAAACTTTTTTAGGGTAACATATTATATAAAGTGTTAGGAGAGTCCTGGGATAAAACATGGTCTCTACATTCCAATGGGACAGAGAAGGAAAATAATTAACATTTACTGAGTACCTGTTACATGCTAGGCAGTGTACTAAACATTTCATATATAGTATTTCACTTAATTCTTATAACAACCTTTGAGGATGGTGCTATTTCCTCTTTCTAAATAATAAACTAAGGCTGAAAGAAATAAAAATATTCTGGGTCATACAGATAGTTTTGAATTCAAATCCTGGACTCCCTGTGTGCAAAATCTATTCTATTTTTACTTTACCATACTTCTTCTGAAATTATAATGTGGTATGGTTTATTGGGTGGGAGTATCAGAATTACTAAGTAGAGAGATGAAACATCTTCTAACTAACATGACCAGGAAAGCTTCCTAAAGATGGAATTTGTGGGGATGGAAGGAAGAGCAAAGCAACCAGGAGTGGGCTTGGTCAATACATCTGTTTAAGGGAAGAAAGGAAAACAACTGTGGAGGATACAGAAAACCAGACAAAGGAATTGGGGTACTTTGTACTATGAAAGACGACAATTTGTGGGGGAAGGAGTGGAGAAGATTGTTTGGTTTCAGCCACTATAAATGTTGAAACATCCCTAACTATCCTTTTACTGACAACCCACAATGGCAGTGCTGTAATACAACTTATTTTTCTGGAGCAAAAATATATAATACCAGTTGTATCTATAAGCACTTTTCAATTCTTCTTCTTATTTTTTTGGAGACAGGGTCTTAGTAGTCCAGGTTGGCCTGGAACTAGCTATGTAGCCCAGGCTGACCTTGAACTCTTGATCCTTTTGCCTCTATCTCCAAAGTGCTGGTTACAAGTGGGTGCCACCCCATCTTTTTATTTTAACCTAACAAAAGAGATAATCCTCCAAATGATGGGATAAAATTGTAAATGCCTACTGGAGTGCGAAGGCAGATAACAATTACAAGTGAAGTGGACTGGGTGAAAGGACACAGTACATAATAGGTAGTGTTGCACACTGCCCCATTTACAGGCAGCTGCTACACTGAACAGTTGTTGTCATGCAGGAATACAGGAATACGGGGACAGTGTTGCTAGAGCACGAGTCTGATTATTCAATTCAGAAGTCATGTTTCACATGAAACGTCTAAATTTTAAAAACAAGTATGGTTTAAATCAAACATCACTGGGCTAAAAATAGCCATAATGCAACCCTGTCTTAAATCTTCTTAACCCTCTCAAATTCATCAGAACCCCCCCCCCAAAAAAACCCTATTTAAATTGCCAATTAAATAAACCCTCCAACACAAATCCCCAAAGTAATAGGCTAAAGAACTCAGACCATAGAAAAAGTAATAAAAAGGAGAGAAATGTGATCACCCATTCCCCACTTCATTAACTGGTTTAATGAAATTGCTAGTATGACTGGTAGCAATTATAGTAAAATTTCTAAACTCTTACCTACGTGAAAACTGTGACATAACTGTTTAAATCTAGTATCTGTAATTATTTATGAAATCTCTCATGATCTTACAATATCATATATATATATATATATATATATATCACCCATAGCACTATAAGACAAATCACTTTATTAAATTTCTTACATAACATAGGTGTAAAATTTTTACTACACTGTTATACTGTAACTCCTTCAAATATCTAAGTAACATTGGACTTAGTACACTTACCAAAGTTTATGTAAATCTTCATTACTTTTGTTCCTTAATTGCTGACAGGTCCATGCAGCTCCTAATAAAATGATAAATTCGTAACATGAAATAATCTTTTTAGCTCTATGTCCTTGGCAAATTACTTAGCCTCTTTAAATCTGTTTCTTTATCTGTAAAACATATAACAGCATTATTATATTATAGTTAGAATTCAATTAGATAACATGAAAATATTAATAACATGAGTGGCAATAGCATTCAAAAACTTAGCAATAGCACAGAATGCATTTTCACAACTGAATATCAAAAAATTTGCTATTACAAATTAAATTCAGTTATCACTGAAACTGGAATGTAAAACAAACCTAAAAAAGAAAAAAAAAATCCTAAGTCTCACCTTAGTTAATTAGCTAATACCTTTAACCTACTGGTCTTCTAAACCTTTTGCTAAGAAATAAGTAGCTCTATGATTACAATGACTTTCTAAGTTTTTCTCCTAGATGGACCCAAAGGCAATTAAAAAAAAAAAATACTAAACTGGAGAAACAATTCTATAATGATGGAAGGGGTCAACAAACATATTTAATATTGGCTAGTCAAAATATCTCACCAGACTTTACTTTTTCTTCCCCCCAGTTCTTTGGGTCATCAAAAAATTCTTCTAGTCCTCTCTTTGACATTGTGGTATGAAGTAATTTACACTGGTGAAAAGATGTGACATTCGGTGTAGTCTTAGACAACAAATTAAGAGAAAACCTGTAAATGAACACATAGAAAAAAGTGATTAAAGTTTTATAACATCTGGAACTTTATTAAGCAATACTGAGTCATTTTCTCACTACATTAAAAAACCTACTTAGGATTTTTGCACCAGAAGCAGTAAACTTAAAAAATGCTTTAGTATTTGATGCAAGTGGCTCACGCCTATAATCCTAGCTACTCAGAAGGCAGAGATCAGGAGAGATCACAGTTCAAGGCCAGCCCAGGCAAAATGAAAGCAAGACCTTATCTCAAAAATACCCAACACAAAATAGGGCTGGGAGAGGTTCAAGTGGTAGAGTGCCTGCCTAACAAGTGTGAGGCACTGAGTACCACACACACATACACAAATGCTTTAGAAAGTATTTTTACACAATTATATTTTAAGATAATGTTTTTAAGTCCTTCCTCCACTCTGGCAAGTGGAATCAATGAGCAGACAAAAACATTCTGAAGAACAGTTTCGCAATATCTATCATAGGCTCAAATGCTTCCTTCTTTAACTCAGTAATTCTACATCTAGAAATTTCAACTACAGAAATTATTACAGATGGAAACCTATAAATCAAGATGTCTATTAAAGTATTATATATGATATCAAGAAGTTCACGATTACATAAATGTAACTTAGGGAGTTGTTAAAAATTATGGTGCATGATAAACTATTAGGTAGTAATTCAGAAATTATGTTTTAAAGAATATTTAATGACCTGGGAAAATGAATTAAAAACAAAATGATGAAATGTATCACAAGTGGTGTTTTCTTATCAGGAACATTTCACTTTCATCACTATGAATCAATGAGATGAATCCAAATGGAGGATATTTTAAAAAAGCTAATGTTACAAAAGAACTGCCCATTACTAGGCATGGTGCAGCACACTTGTGATCCCAGCTACTGAAGAGGTAAAGGTAGGAGGATTGTGGTCTGAGGCCTGGCAAAAAGCACTGGATCCTATCTGATAAACAAACTAAAATCAAACAAGGATTGGGAACATGGCTCGAGAGATAGACTACTTGCCTAGCAAGTGTGAGGCTTTGAGTTCAATTCCCAGAACCGAAAAGAAAAAATTTAAAAAGTCATCATGAAAGAGAAAAACAGGAAATGTTCTAGATTAAAGGAGACTAAAGAGAGAGGGCAACTAATTGAATTAATGATCCTTCATGGATCCTGAATCAAAAGGCAAATAAAAAATTACCATTTGTTCTCAGAGTTTGTATGCTGAGGTGTCACAATGTTTAAAATCTGACATGCCTCAGTTAAGAATAAAAGGAGCATAAAGAGATACAGAAAAATTTGACAAAATGCTAATGACTGGGCAATATAGTTGAAAAGCATATGGTAACTCTGTAATACTCTAAGAATTTTTCTATTGGTTAGAAAAAAAATTGTGGGGCAGTACTGGGGTTGAACTCAGGCTTTCCACTTTGGAGGCAGGAGCTCTATGGCTTGAGCCACACCCCCAACCCTTTTGCTCTGGTTATTTTGGAGATAGGATCTTACTTTCTGCCCACCAGGCCTGGATCATGACGCTCCTATCACTGGGATGACATGTGAACACCAACAGGCCCAGTTTTATTTTCAGTTGAAATGGAGGTCTTGCAAACTTTTTTGCCTGGGCTGGCCTGGAGCTGAGATGATCCTCTCAATCTCAGCCTCCCAATAGCTAGGATTACAGCCATGAGCCACCAATGCCTGGCTGAAATTTTTTTAAAAATTGAGAAAACAAGGGCAAACAAAAATGCATACATGTAAATATGATACCAACTATCTAAAAACTATATATATGTGTATATAAGTAAAGTTAAAAAGAATGGATGGAATTCTGTTCATCTGAGTGATAGAACTATCATTTCTTTAAACTTTCTTCTTTATAATGCTTTATCCAATTTTTCCAAAGTGTCAGTAAATGAACATCTATTCATTTTATAATGAAAAAAATCTAAAATTATTTCTTTGATAGAAAAAGGATGATGAAGTAGAACAGAAACATGATCCAAGTTTGCCACCTTGATCAAGTTACAACTTCTGAACCTCTACAACCCTTATCTCTAAAGTTAATGTAATAACAGTAGCACATAATATTAATCGTGCATTCGACAGCAGATATACTGCATAAAATACCTGACGTACTTTGCTGGTAAAATTCAACTCATTGTAGACAAATGCCAAAAAAGGGGGAGGAAACCATACTCCCTAAAGCAAAAAGGAATGAGTTTATCAGAAGACAAGTTATCTTTCCACCTCGAAATAATGAACACCACTTGTAGAATGTTCCTTTCTCACACCTGCAAGGAGACCTTCCGTGATTTGGCGTTCATTACTTGTTTAATATTTGGTGACTGATCTCTTTGTTACAAAAGCTGAGGCTACAAAGACCCTTCCCTTCCTTTTCTATCCATTCAAACCTGGAGCAGCCTTCAGTTGCACAGCAAAAGCTCTTCAGTAAAGTTGTTCCCAGCCCAAGAGTAAGCCTCTGTACCTCAAGGTTTAATTCAACAAACACAGGGCATGTACAAACCCCACAGACTGCCTAGTCCACCGCACGCAGCACCCAAATGACACACGAAAGCCTCGGAGTGGGCGACTTCTCCAAGGTCGGGCTCTGCCATCACGGCGGCCTTTCCCTCCCTGAAGTGTTCTCGGCATCTGGCAACCAAATAAGACGCGAAGTTGGAGAAGTGCACAAATCTACGCTTCATATCACTTACCCTATGCTAGCAGGGGCCTTAGCCGTTACTAATGAACTGGAAGCCTTCAGGACGGCTGAGACGCTTCTACAGAAAACAGCCCAAGTGCACCCAGCCATCTTTTCTCCCCCCACACCTAACCATATCGCGTTTCCGCCAACATTGTCGTCACTTCCGTTCACTCACGCCCATGGGATGAAGCCAACAGGAACCGGCCCATGCCCTCTTCCAACATGGCCGCCGCGCACCTTCATCCTCATTGGTGAATTGGCCCGTTCGGCTTCCGTTGCTCGCCCTATTGCCCGTCGTAGCCATGGCGGCCATGAGTTTATTGCAGCGGGCTTCGGTCACTGCGTTGACAGCTCTGTCCGGCCGCTGTGTGGGCACTCGACTCGGATCCGGAGGGTTTCTCACCCGGGGCTTTCCGAAGACTGCCGGTGGGTGCTGGCCTTGGGAGAAAGAGCAAACAGGAGGGCGGGAGGAGACAGGAGAACTGTTCCCGGGTGACCTTGTGGATCCTGAGGGGGTCGGGACAAATTGTGGGCCTTGTAGAAGATACTGCTCTGACTGGGTGAGGGATTTTCCCTAAGTAATCAGATCGATTGCCTCGAACTCGCGGTCCTCCTGGCTCAGCCTCCCTACTGCTGGGATTGCAGGTGCTTGTCACTCCGCCCGGCTAAGGACACCAGATTCTTGCTTGGTAGGTTCCACCTGCTGTAAGTCCTAGTCCCACAAATGGGAAGTTATGTTGCTGAGAAGCCCACGGATATGCAAACAGGCATATATGCAATTTGTAAATTGGCCCCGAACCAGTGAGACACAATAGTTATTGTGCCCATAGAGCCCACGATAGAATTTAGGGGTCCACGAAAATGTTTTTTAAGTTATCTTCTTAAAATACACAATAAATAATACATAATATATATAATAATAAATACACATTATAACTCATGTAATAATAAATTCGTTTCAGATTGCATTTGTTTTTTATTAGCCCAGTAACAAAATAGCACTTTTACCAAATTAGGGCCTCAAAAGCCAAAAGTGCCAGGGCGCTATGAAAGATATAATGCAGTCCTAGAAGGACTAATTTTGATCCTCTTATGAACTGTTAGCTGCTAGGTGAAATACTCATAATAACAACACATCAAGTACTTGGTATTCTGTCTATCTTATTCTCTCAAAGACTGCAAAGTAAATACAGGGTTATTATACCCATATTACAGATGAGGGAACTGACTCAGTTATTATAAAAATAATGCACCACTTTACTAAATTAATAATGATGGCAGCCAACATTTATTGAGCACTTATTATGCATCAGATACCATTCTAAGATTTTTAAAGTATTAATTCATTTAATCTCCCTGATCTAAGATACAGTGTAAGTTATTTGCCCCATGCACTACAAATAAAGATTTTACCCAAAAACCAAAAAGATTGTCTCCATCTTCAAAATATCTTGTCCTATTTTACCTCTCTTCTAATTTCAATCATGCTGCTACTGATGAGGCAATATGCATAAGGACTTGCTGAAACATGATGGAAAGGACCAGAGGTATTTCAATAAATTTCCAGCACAGGTTTAAACTTCATACAAAATATAATGTGCTAACATTCTTTGATAAAATCTCTTTGTAGGCCCTTTTTGATACAGATGTCCTCAAATATGCAAATGCGAATCCTTCAAATAACCCCTCAGATTGAATTTAATTGAATCTACTGCATGATAAACTGAGGTAAAATTTCACCTCAAATTCTTCTTTCTGCATTATTCTCCACTTTTGGAGTTCTGGAAAGATCGCTATTGGAAGTTTTTTCCAATGAGAACAGGACAAGATCTTTATTCTAATGATGACTGTTTCACCTGAGTACCTGCTTTCAATGGTATTTTGCATCTGTTATTGTGGAATAAATATATAATCTTTTATATTGTTTCATCTATCCCTACAAGAATATAAGCTCCCATATAGAAGGAAATCCTGTCTTGTTTTGTTTTCTTTGGAGGTAGGCTGCTTAAATTCAAATCCTGGCCCCAAAATTTTGAAGCATTTTAGAACTAAAGTGAAGAGCACTTAATTACTCAGAATTTTTTGTAGTACTGTTTGTTTCTACTATTGCATAGCATTCTTCCCTTTCTTGCTTTTATAGATTTATATATATTTGATTAATGTCCGTTTTTCCTAGCAGAATCGATACCCCTCTTAGACTGTAGGCCTGCATGTAGTAGACATTTAAATACTTATTGAATTAATGAGTGGTTTGTAGAATCATCCAGTCATGTTCTTTATCTAGTCTACAAAAAATTCCAGTATGTTATTTTTTAAATGATTTGCTGAAATCCACATTACTTTGTCAAATTCTCTTAATCTTATTATTTTAGAGGCCAAGTAGAATGAATTATATTTAGTAAATTCATGCCAGCTTCTAATTGTCTTGTGAGTTGACTCCTTAAATTCATTGCAGGATGCTGCAGATGACACCAAAATTAAGAAATCCTACCTTCAAAACATTTATAGTTAAAAATGGCAGTAATGAGCATGGGGCCAATAATGCTAGCTACTCAGGAGGCAGAGATCAGGAGGATTGTAATTTGAAGCCAGACTGGGGAAATACTTTGTGAGACCCTATCTCAGAAAAACCCATCATAAAGAAGAGGGGAGGGAGCTGGTGGAGTGGCTCAAGGTGTAGGCCTGAGCCACTGCAAAAAAAGAAAAAAAAAGGCAATAATGAAAGTAAATAGTTTTCTTCTTGGTCATTGGGTTCTGCATACTCATATCTCACCAACCATGAATTGAAAATATTCTGAAAAAATTTGTGTCTGTAACTACACATGTGCAGACTTCTTTTTGATCATTATTCCCTTAACAATACAATATAGCAACTATTCACATAGCATTCACTGTATTAGGTTTTATAAGTAATCTTAAAGTAAATATAAGGAAATTAAAGTATATGGAAGAACGTGCATAGGTTATGTGCTGATCGTTTTATGTAAGGGACTTGAGCATCTGCAGAGTTTGGTATCTGCGGGGGTCCTGGAGCCAGTCCTTCATGGATACTGATACTGAAAGATGACCATGCACTCGCTAGGCTGTACAGCAATTGAGAAGAGGGAAGGTCTCATTTAATTGGGACCAGCGTTGGCTTCTCAGAGGGTAAGACGTCTCTGAGCCAAATGGATAGATTTCAGGAAGAGGAGCATTCCAGAGGTTAATATGAACAAAGGGTACAGATCTTTCTGACCTCTATTAGGACTGAAATTCCTTTAGTGGGAAATTAAAATTTTTCTTTTCATGGTGACTCACAAGTAAAATCTGAGTTCAGTTACACAGTGGAAGCCTAGTAATCCCATTTCTCTACAACAGCCAGGACCCCTCCTGCTCCCAGCGGGAAGGGCTAGAATGCCTGTAGTTATCCTTGCAGCCCTCCAAGAAAGGAGGAAAATGTAGAAAGAGGGTACAGGAGTGAAATGCTGCCTCAGTTTATTGCTAGCAGGCCTGATTAAGTTCCATGGGTGGAGGCAAGGAGGATTTGAAGAGGAGGATATTCTAAATCAGAAGTGGCTTACTATGGAATTTATCAAGATAGAGTGTATAGCTTTGTAACAAGTCAAATTCCTGAAGGGGATTTGTTGAATAAATAATGCTGTCCTTTCCATCTATTTCACAGCAACTTCCTAATGTATATTTTGTGTAAAACCTCAACAAACGAAATGGCGTAATTAAATTAAATTTATTTCTTTTGCAGCTTTAGTTAATATTTGTTTCAGAGGAAAACAAAGATGACAGCTTACCAAGAGTATCTGACTTTCCTGCCTCCTAGTAAATAAATTAATAGGATTTTGTCTCATAATATAACACTACACACCTGCATGAACCTTGAACTTTGTATAAAGTGGTAACTTAATATTCGCAGCTCCTGTGCGACACAGTGGAGACCATGGGAAAAGACTGTTCATCATCAAATCTTCTTCCTTCTATGACAGACGTTTTTTAAAATTACTGGTGAGTTAAAAATTTTTTTTTGCCAAACTCAGAGTGCTTCCTCTTTAGAAAATGTGTCTCATTTTATAAAAGATTTTGATTTTGTAAATTCATATTTCTTTTCTCAAAAGATACTGTGATTGTATAGTAAAATTTGATTTGTTACTGAATCTCCTTTTGTTAGTGAAACCTTTCCTTCAAAAAAGGATTTATACTAATTGGAGGTAAAACTGAGCCATTCCTTGCTTCTCAAAAGTGTGAAGTTTGGCTAGTTTGTGTTCCCTGCTTTAAGAGTGAAACATAAATCTCCAGGATGGGCACCAGTGGTTCACATCTATAATCCAGGCTGAGATCAGGAGGATCTAGTTTGAACTAGTCCAGGCAAATAGTTCGGGAGAGTCTATCTGGAATACCAACACAAAAAAAGGCTGGTAGAGTAGGTCCAGTGGTAGAGTGCCTGCCTAGCAAGTGTGAGTACTGAGTTCAAACCCCAGAAAAAGAAGAGAAATCTCCAAGTCTCAGGGTGGAGCTCAGTTGTGCAGTGCTGGCTTAGCCTGTACCAGGCTTTGGGTTCCATCTCTAGAACCAAAAAAAAAAAGAAGATGAAAGACGAAAAAAGCCTGCAAATTTATAAAACTTTAAAAATTGATTCATGTGAGGATGATTCTTAAAATATTATTTAAATTACCAAAGAATGCACAGAAAGACTTCTTTTAATAAATGAGCTGTTTTATTTTGGGATGTAATTTTTTTATTTATAAGTCATTAGGGAATATTGATTTTAGAATGGTTGCTTCATGGTCTTAATTTAGCAATAATATTACTTATTTAGAGCAATGACTATGTGTTTATATTGTAAGGTTCTTACAAAATGAAAACAGAGGCTTAGGAAATGGGAGTTTGCATTCCCTACCACTGTCCCTGAAGCTCTGGCTGCCTTGAGACCTTCTTTTGCCCTCCCATTGTGCTTAACCTTCTCCTTGTCCCCTTGCGTGAACCCTCTCTTTTCTTGTCATGACGAACTCAAATCCTATTGTGGTTTGAGTGGTTGAAATCACTCTTAATTTTTTTACATTTTCTTATTTTAACATTTTCTAACTTTTATGAGATTACTTTAACCAAAAAGCAAATGTATATTGTATTATGCTTATATAATTAACTGTTTCTTAATTCATTTTTCTTTTTTTGTTCGGGGTTTAAAAAAAAAAAGGGGCCCAATGTAAGCATCTAAAGTCTAGAGTAAAAGAATATCAAAGGAAATCAATCATCGATACTGTATTCTCTTTTTGGCCATGTTTATTTTGCAGAAATAAAAGGAAATCCAAGTGAGGATAATTGGGGGTGGGGGAGAAGTTAGGAAAATGATCATGAGAAAAACTATTTTTATTTTTTAAATCTTAACAGAAATTCTACAATTTTTGTGACTGGGATTTCCCAGTAGCACATCCGGCATACGTCTGGTGAATGCTATTTAATTGGTAAGATTCACCTTCCCCTAGCACCGCCAAATGCTGTAAATTTAAAAACACATTAATTTTTTAAAGGAAGTTTATGAAATATATATAATGAAAGGACCTTGAAAATTAGTAAAATAAACATAGGCGAACGTGCAATTTATTTTAAATAAACCAACGGTCTTAATTACAATGGTACATCAGTTTATTGTTTAACCATTTCTCTTTTTCCTCCAAAACTTTTAAGGTAAGGAATTCTAATAGAGGCCATGTAGGAAGCTTCTTGAAAGACTTCTCTTCCCTCTGCTTGTTTCCCCAAAACAGTTATTGACAAATCTGATAAGTAGAAGGAGACAGGTTAGAAGAAGAAGCTGAGAGACTGAAGAAAATTTTTAAATTCATCCTGGAATATATAACCTTATAATCCTCCAAAAACAATGAAGGTGTGAATGACATGGATTTTCATTGGGGAAATCTGTTTCAGAGTACTCCTAACAACCTTGAATCCTAAAATATTTTGTCTAATTGGAACAATTAGAGAAAGATCAGAAGGAATAATATATCTTTCATTGCTGTCTTGTAATATTATAAATAAGCAGGTTGGGTGTGATGGTGCATGTAATTCCTAGCACTGCGTAGGTTGAGGGCCAGAGAATTATGAGTTCAAGACCCAGTCTGAAACTCATGTAGTAGAGCCTGTCTCAAAAAATGTTTTAAAAAGTGGGGAGGTAAGGGGGGTGGCTTTAATAATACTTGCTCTTATTACCAAGAAGATAGCTTAAAAAGTACCCCAGTGGATGGTTATTTTCAAACCACATTAAAAATTTAGAAAATTTAGATTTTCATGGTTACAATAAAAGAAGAAAAGATTTTTAAAAGCTTACCGGCAGTTTATTTATTATTGGTGAAGGATTAGTTAATTTATTGGGCTCAGCATGATGGTTTGATGCCTTATAACCCCAGCTACTTGGAAAGGGAGAGATAGGAGGTTGTTGGGATCCAAGGCTAGCCCTGGGCACAAATGCAAACACTATCTGAAAATAACCAAAACCAAAAAAGGGCTTGGGGACATGCTCAAGTGCTGCTGTGAGCCCCTGAGTTCAATCCCCAGTACTGCCAAAAGAAAAAAAAAAACAAAAGAGTATTTATAAACTCCTAATTGCCTTACAAGTTGAACTCATGATTTCTCTTATTTAAGGCGAAGCTGAGTTGCAGGAATTCCAGAAGTCTATTTCAGAACATTGGGAATCATTACAAGGTTTGTATTATCATTGCAAAATTACTTTCTGTTAGTTATCTTGTCAATGTGGCTAGTTAATGTCTTAATTAGGCAATTATGATTTCAGTTTTATATTCAATTTTTGATTATCAAGGTATGCGTACATTTTTACTTTTTACATGCAACTACTTTTGGTACTTCATTGTTTTTTCTTGTTAATTAAGCTTTTACAGTTTTTAAAGAATGACTTCTTGAAATAGTTATCAACCTAGCAGCCTAACAAAATTTTTCCTAAGTTCACTGCCATAGGAAAGATGTTACCAGCACTAATGCCATACGCGTGCACCTACTGTTTATCATGGTACCATACTAAATTGTTTTGCAAATATTATCTCATCTTATATTCAAAAGACTGTTTATTATTCTCACTTTATAGGTAGGGAAACTCATACTCAAGTGAATCTGTTCCAAGAGAGGAGGTCCATATTTGAATTTAAAACTCCAGTCAGTTCAAACTCAAGCCTGCACTTTTGATAGATCACTAACCATACTGTTCACTGCCACCCAAAAACACAAAATTAATTTGTCATTGTCTTCACAAATATTATTAGTGAGATGGCCTTGAATAGGTGAATTATGCTTATTGAATTTTATTATCTGAAAGAGTCATTATTTTAGAAAAGAAATGCATTATTATTATTATTATTACTATTATATTTTATACCAGCACTCAGAGCTTCACAGCTAGCAGAAAGCTCTGCTGCTTTAGCCATGCCTCTAGCCTGCCTTCAGTATTAAATTTTAAGGAAAACTGGCCAGGTTGCAGTGGCTTCATGTCTGTAATCTCAGCTACTCTGGAGGCCAAGATTGGGAGGATTCTCCTTTCTATGCCAGGCAAAAGTTGAGGACATAGTAGGAGGATTAGGTCAACATCCAGGCAAAAAATGCAGGACTTATCTGAAAAATAAACTAACACAAAAAGGGCTGAGGATGGACTTAAGTGTAGAGCAAGTTGGTGAGGCTATGACTTCCCAACCTTAGTAATTCCCCACTGTACCCCCTCCCCCCAAAAAAGTCAAAGTTAAGCTAACCATAAAAAAATTGTTTATTTATTTATTTTGCTAACTGGTGGAAAGAGCTTCATGTTTAGATCAACAAAACCCTGTGCTTGTCTCCTGCCTCTGCCACTTAGGGATCCTCAGTGTAGAGGAATGGGAAGCAGTACAGCTTTGAGCAGACATACCTTACTGTTGAGTCCCAGATGCTTGCCACTTAGCTGGACATAATTTGTGTTGATTGCTCATCTCTAAAATGGGCGCAAAAAATAGATCTATCTAATGTTATTTAATGATTTAAAATGATATGTAAAATAGTTGGCATATAGTAAATGTTACTGGTTTATCTAACTGAAATTCTGTCTTTATTTATTTAATTTTTTGGGGTACTTGGTGAAATGGTCATATTTAAATAATTTAGTAAACTATAAAACCAAGTATTTGCTTAGAAAACTGACTACTTCTAAAGAAATTTCTTTCCTGCAGCATCCTATCTCAAGATGGACATTGCCCGTAATTTCTTTGATAGGTCCTGAAAAGAATTATTGAAAATAACAAATGGCTATCCGTCAGATTTGAAAGCTGAAAAGACTGACTTACGCCGTAAGAAAGGCGTGGGAAGAAATCATTTCCTTTGGGTTGCAAACCATAGAGGAAAAATAAATTAATGAAAAATGCAGCACTGTGTATGATTCTTTGTAAAAGGATTTAGATAGAAGAGAGAAAGCCTCGTTGAGTGAGGACTGGGAGTTGGTGACTACTCAACAGTCCTTCACAGGAATTTGTTTTTAAATCTGGTTTTTTTATTGTGTGTGTGTACAAGGAAATCCTGTCCGTCACCCTACCCCAGTTCTTCCATCCCAAATCTAGTCAAACTCTTAAAAAGACTCCTGTTTAACAATTTGTTCCATATTTCCTAGAGAAAATTTTATGAGGTTAAAATACATTATTTTTACAAATATAATTAAAAGTTATATTGATACAGATAGAATCTTTTATGAACCACTATTTTGCACCTTTCTTTATTATGTAGCTTGGTGCTTTTCTTAATAGCAATATACCTACCCAATTTGTTAGGAATGGACAGCATCTATAATATTTTCATTGGATGGATATTTCTAACCAGTTCCCTATGGTTCTTTCCAAATTTATGTATTTGTGCTATATATATATATGTAGGAAGCAAATTCCTAACATGGCACCAATTAACCAATAGGTGTCTATGTCTTTTTAAAGTGTTGAATAAATACTGCCAGGTTCTTTTCCCAGACAGTAATACCAAGTTTACTTTTTCCATCCCCAGGTATACGATAATTTCCTGTTTCTCCAGGTAATGGAATTTATTCAAACAAATATTTTTTGCTGATATTAGCCTGTTTGGTTTTGTGTGAGATGGGTTTTCATGGTTTGTCACTTGCATTTTGGCAATGAAGAATTTTCCACGATGAATTTTATTTTTGTTGTATTCAAATAACAAATACGTAATAGCAGCTATACCTCTTTTTTTTTTTTCTTTCGTATACTGAGGATGAACCCAGGCTTTATTGCATGCCTTTAACAACTTGAAGCTATAACTCCAGCTCTATGCACTTTTGCGCTTCTTTTACTAAGTTATAACCAGTGTATAGTTACTCATATTGTATTTGCCTCATTTAATTGTCAGGGTTTGTTAGTCTTTTTTCTAAGCTTCTGGATTTTGTGTCATGCAGGAACCCTAAAGTAATTTAAATTAGGTAAATATATTACTTCTAACATTATTTTTTGAGAAAGTTCTTGTGGGGCTTAGAGACAAGCTCCAGTGGTAGAACATCGTGTCTTAGAATGTGTTAAGGCCTTTTCATTCAATCCCCAGCACTAGGAACATATATAGGAATAATCAATCTGAATATATTTTGTGTTAGAAATGACATATAATTGAAAAGCAAAAGATGCACCCGATTAAAGTCACTGGCATTTTGACAAAGTGTATACCTATGTGACCAACCCTACCACAAGTGTAAGGTCATTTTCCAATCACCCGAAAATTATTCTTGTGTACATCTGTCCAAACCATTCCAATAAATCTCCACCCTTATCTTGGCCCCCAGGCTACCGCTGATCAATGTTTCATTCTGTCTTTTAAACTCTGTGGTTTATAAAAAAAGTGCTGTCGATACTGGAAGAAAATAAATGTGAAAAAAGAGCATATAATTAGCTGTTGTTTTCTAGGTGTGCACTTATGAGCAAGAATAGCAGTGTGGCTCATTACTTCGTTAATATAAACTTTTCTGAAACTTCATAACCATAAACTTTGCAGTATCCCAATACATGAGGACCCTAGAAATCCTCAGCATAAACAGAGATCCTAAACAAGTCTAAAACAAAAGAAAAAAAAACAGACCTACCCCAACCCTGACTTCTACCCCTAAAGGAAAGATGCCATGAATGGGCCAGGGAGGGCGGGGTATCTGCTGTTTTGAAAGGCTTGCATTTATATATTTGGAAAACTGAAATATGATAAATAAGAGTCTCTCCCTAGTTGACCCCTCCCAGATTTTACCTATTATTTTTAGTCTTTTTCATGCTTTTTAATATCTTGTCTTTGTGTATTTATTCTACTCATAAATGGCAAGTTATTGTTTTTTAATGAAATGGGAAGGTGCTATACATACTTACATCTTGTTGTTTTGTTCTTTCTTTTTTTTCTTCCAGCTGTTGGGGATGAAACCGAGGGGCCTGCATGTGCTAGCAAGCTCT